ACAAAAAAAACAAACTCACTGTCAATGAGTCAATTTCAACTCATAGAGACCCCCATTGGGTTTCCAAGGCTGTAAATCTTTACAGAAGCAGACTGTCTCATCGTTCTTCCGTGGAGCAGCAGGTGGTTTGAACCACCAACCTTTTGGCTAGCAGCCAAATGCCTTAACCACTACACCACCAGAGCTGCTAGTTTATTGGTACTAGGCAGTGTATTTTTTCACTTAGACTTGCTCCAGACTCCCAGTCATCCTAGGCTTCTCAAGTTAATCACAGTCCAATAAATACTGGACAATCAAATCAGCCAATGTGGTGAGAGAAAGGGCTACTTCGTGATGAGCACTTATTGTATTGCTTTGCATGAGAATCAATTCAGAAGAATTAAAGGTTTTTAAGTCACCTTGGTACCTCATAGCGACCCCTATTGGGTTCTAAGGTTTAAACCTTTACAGAAACAGATTGCCCCTTCTTTCTTCTGTAGAGTGACTAGTGGGTTCAAACTACCAACCTTTTGGTTAGCAGCCAAATACCTTAACCACTACACCACCAGAGCTCCTATAGATAAGCATATAAACTGCATCATATTGCTTTCTCTTCACTTCATCACTCAGCAATTCATAGGCTTCCTCCAACTGGGAGAACTTCTTGGCCTTGAGAGCATCCTTATTTGTGGTAGGTGTCGGCTTCCTTATTTTATTGGATAGAAGAATAGCAATGAGAATATTGTCATTGATGTTTAGTGACCACAGTGTTAATATCTGAGCATATTTGGGACATAGTAACATCGAGGCACCTAATAATTCTTTAGCTGTGGAACACTTTAGAGTGTGCTAATGCATTCACATGCAAAATTTTATCTCATCCTCAAAATAAATTCAAATGATGTATTAACCTTATTTTAAGGAGTCAGAAATTAAATATCAAGGCCTAGGTTTAATTTATTCCTTTGGAACTTTTTCTGAGAATCTATTTTGTTAGGCTCTGTGGCCCTCAATCTAGGCCTTTTACTCCTGAGGTAATAAGATCTCTTCTAAGCAAACTTTTGTAGCTTCCTGACTGCCTTATGTCACTATGTACTTAGCTGAGGTAGCAATCAAAGATATAGTCCACCAGTGGACTCTGCATCCAAGGACAGGTGTATGGTGCAGCCCCTCCTAAGAGGCAAACCTCTCTGCCTTTTCCCACGGAATTAGGGTCCCTAATGGCCCAGCCACTGCAAAGGGCCTCTTGAGGCTTATGCAAATGGTGGCAGGGAAGCACTCCCCCCAACTCCCACTCCCTTCCCTTCCCTTCTCCTCCCAATTATTCTGCTTTGTGTAGAATAAAGGAAGTTTCCAGTTTGATCTTAGGTCCAATTGACAAGGCCACATGAAACCCACAGGCCTTGATTTACTTTGTCCTACTTTATCTAGAAATAAACCTTTCACTAGTTGTTCAGTAGCCACTGATAGTGAAACAATGTCCAAATTCAATGTAAAATTTGTTGCTTGATAAAGTAGAAAAAAACAAAAATGTTGTTTAAATAGTAGGAATTTATATAGCAAGAACAAGGTGGAAAATAATGTCACACTTAATTAAAAAAAGGACAAATTGTGAATTAAGTTGTATTCTGAAGACACAGGTGACAATTTAGTCCCAACTCTGTAACAGCCATGCAAAGAGATGCTAAATCTTGAATGAGGTATGCAGTAGTGATTTTCTGTCTTAAAAAAAGTGAATTTTAAAATTTTTGTTCAAAAAATTATTTAAATCTGTGTCTTGCAAACTACACAGAAGAGTGCATAACATTAACAACCTCATCTTTGAACTTAAATATACAAGCATCTTTTTCATATTCTTATTTAATAGTAGCCTTGTTTTTATTTTTATCATCTTTAGATTTATTATGCCTCAGAAGTATTATAGTTAAGAAATGTATCACATCATATAGGAGAAAAAAGAATGGATGTTTTCAACACTTTGGAAATATTAAAGCAGTGTTCAATAGAACTAAACTGGAATTTCCAGCATTTTATTAGTAATGGTGTTATAAGGAGAGATCTTGTGGATAGTGCTACCAATGTGGACCCAACATATTATCTAAAATACTTTACTCTCAGTCTCCTAAATCCAAGGGAAAAAACAATAGTATTGTAGCACATAGTTAGAAGAATGCAGGACCAGGTGACCAGGGAACTACTGTGCTTCAGTTTTGGGCTTGAGATTTTTTTTATTTTTAATTTTATTTTATTTAGATTTGGGTGAAGATTTACAGAGCAAA